GACCAAAGCTCACCCCGCAGGAAGGGCTCACCCTAGCCCTAGATGGGGTGCCCAGGACAGACAGAGATCAACTGGAGGCTGCAAAACAGATGCTTGAGTCCCATCTGCATCACATCTCATACGAAACCAGGCTGCCCAGGGCCCCATCCAACCTGGCCTTGATCACCTCCAGGGATGGGGCACCCACAACCTCTTTGGGCATCCGGTTCCAGCGTCTCACCACTCTCTCTGTAAAGAACAATCCAACCTGACATCCCATCTTCAACTCAACACCACGTCCCCTTGGCCTGACGTCAGCCACACCATCAGAGTCGACTCCCCTCCTGTTTGTAGGCTCCCTTTATGTACGGAAGGCTGCAATGAGGTCACCGCGCAGCCTTCCCTTCTCCAGGCCAAACAAGGAGATCAAGAGTGAAATGTAGAGGGGCAGAACTGTCAATAAAGCCTTACCACGGGCCTATCCTTTAAACATCTCTGCGATGCCTGTGGCAGCGTCATTGCGTCTTTTTACGCCAGTTCTCGTGCCGGTGGAGGGAGAAAGAATTGTGAGAGGGCATCAGAGCATCTCACGATGCTTCACTTGATGCCAAAGGACATCCAGCGTCTCTTCTGTCTTATCTGGCTCCCAAGCCACATTGAGTTCTTTGCCTTTTGGGGTAACTAGAAGCTGTGTGTGCTGTTGCCTTTGTAACCTCTTGCTGTTTGGGTTAAGGGTTGTGCTTCAGACTTTGTGGGCTGGGTCTGAGGAGGCCTCTGAGTGCCTCTGGCTTTGAGCCTCAGTCAGTGGCAGTTGTTGGTTAGTGATCTGTGTGTGTGAGTGGTGGTACCGAGAGCTGTGTGAATTCCTTGGCGAGGCCAAACGGCGTGGAGCTCCTTCTACCCCTGCTTGTGCAGGTCAGGAGTGAAGCACGTTGCTCAGTGCCTGCAGCTGCGAGCTTTCTGTTTGCTCGTGCAGCTTTGCTGTGAGCAATGTGGAGCTGTCAGGCAGACTTGGGTTCATTTGCCACTCTCAGCAGCAATGAGACCAGCAATACCTTTTGTAAGTGCATTGCAGCTCAGAAATCAGTTGGTCTGGCAGCAGAAATGCCGTGCTGGAGGGATTGTTGGTGGCCGTGAGCTGACAGCACAAGCCTTGTATTGGCCACTGGTGTCTGTGGCGTGGATTGATGGCAGCTCGTGTAGCGGAGGAGCCTGGGATGTGATTGAATCATATTGTGGAAGGGGGGAAGGGAAAGCCTCTGTGGGTAAGAAGCTGCTGTGAGCTGTAGTGCTGTAGCACTGTCCTCTTAGCTAGGCTTTCTGTTTGTTCTTTCGTGGGACTTTCGTCTCTTTCCTTTTTCTGCTCTTACCTGAAGATCTTTGTGCTGATGATTGCCTGTGTTATTGTACAGGCTAAAGTTTGTTAAAGCAAACTGGGGCTGAAAGGGCAGCAGGCAGCTTAGCTCTGTTTAATGACTGTGTGAGTAATTAAATGTATTGCTGATTCTTCCTAAGGATGCCATAAGTAAAGAGGGTATTTTTTATTATTATTCTTGATTTTGTGCCATCGGGGTTGGTAATAACCTGAAGAGTCTGGGAACCTCTGGGGGAAATGGTTTGTTGTCTTATTTTGCTTGGTGGCAGCTGTTGCAGAGAATGAATTCACACAAGGAGCCAACTAGAAAGCACTGCGTGCTGTTGGATCTGCACTGTCACCATCTCTCTTGCCCGGGAGAGCAAATGAGGGATCTGACTTCCCCACTACTGTTCTCTGTTTGCGTGGTAACAGATGTCAGTCTGCTGAAAATGACAGCCTGGAACCAATTGTGATTGTAAAACACTCAGTTTCTGCAGCCTGGTAACTGTTCTGTGTTGCAGCAGCAGCAGGTAGCAGAGCAGTTACGTTCCCAGCTGTCGAGCTCATGTTCAGCTGCTAAATCACAGCTAAACCATCTCATTCTGCTGAGACACCCCCTGAGCAATGGGAAGCAGATTTAATAGGTTTATGAAGGAAGCAAAATCGTAAAGCTCTAAGAAAGTACAGACAGGGAATGTTTAAAAAGAAAAGGGTATTTCAGAGGATATCAGGGATGCGAGTCTTGTTGGAGGCCGGGAATGACAGGAGTTCCTGAGGGGTTCTGCTGCCTTCACCAAGGTAGCGGGGCAGGGTGAGCGCTCAGAGATGCAGCTGACACAACGCTGGGGGCAGCGACTGACTCGCAGAGGGCCGTGCAGCCATGCAGTGCTCTCAGCAGGCTGTGAGGTGGCCGACACAGAATGACGGAATCGTAGAAGTGTAGAGGCTGGAAAGAACCTCTGGAGATCGCCTGGTCCGACCCCCCTGCTAAAACAGGATCCGTCCAGCAGTAACTTCATCACTGGAGTCTCACGAAGTTCCTTAACCAGTGCAGAGTCCTGCACCTGGGGAGAAACGACCCCAGGCACCGCTGTGTGCTGGCGGCACTCGGCTGCAGAGCAGCTCTGCAGGACAGAGCCTGGGGATCCTGGCGGACGCCGAGCGGAACAGGAGCCAGCGGTGCCACTAAGAAGGCTGGTGGCTTCCTGGCTGCATTAGGCAAAATATTGCCAGGTGCGATGGGAGGGGATTCTTCCCCTGTGCTCAGCGTTGGTGAGCCTGCACCTGCAGCAGGAATCTGTCCAATTGCCTGGCTCCAATTTTCATGGAAAAGGAAATAAATACTGGGAATAATTTCAGTTTCTACTTTCAGCTTTGCAGAAAGGGAATCCAGGCGTGCATTGGGTTTGCCTGCGAACCGGACGCTCCGTTGCTGCTTTTCTGCTTCCAACGTGAGCTCTGCTCACGTTCCTGGTTGCCTTTCAGAACTGCTCTGCAAAGCAAAGCAGAGCCGGCACGCTGGGTTCAGTCTCTGAACAGAGGCCTTAAGCTGACTGGCAGCAGCAGGGGGGCATGTCATGGTGAGCAGGCACAAAGCCACAGCTTTGGAGGTGGTAAGGGCACGTGCTGATTTCTAGGAGCTACACACCTTAACTGTGAATAAAGGGCTGGTGGTTGTTAGATAGTGAAGGAAGGTTTTACACACAGAGACCTACCGAAAAAAACAACACCACGTCTCTTTTCAGTGCTCCTGAATTCTGCTGCGTGATCCAGGAACTCGTGTCTCATGGCAAACTCCTGCATGTTGGATTCCATGTCAGGCACAGTGCCCATTTGCCAGGTGCTGCACTCATTACAAACCCTCTCTGAACCCACGTCTGGCAGAAGGCTCTAGAAGTGAACTGAAACGTTGCGGTGCAGGAATGCTGTGCTCAAAACTGCTCGTGATTAAAGAGAGGCAGGAAATCCTGGTGTCAGTTCGGCACGTCAGCATTTGAAGTCCTGCTGTCTGTCATCTCAGCTTCGCTGAGTTCTGGAAGAGCTCAGAAACGCAGCTCACAGATCTTACTGCCTTTCAGGGTACCTGGGGCCTCTGTGGCAAGGTGTGATCTCTGGGAATTCTGTGGAGCATTTCAGATGTGAATGTCTCCTTATTAACAGCAGCCAGTTAATGCAATTTGTGTTACATTTAGCTTCGTCATTTTTGTACTTATGTGATGGACAGAAGAACAATGCTCCTATTTTTTTTCTTGCAGTCTATCAGAGAGCTCTCGAGCTGCTACTGCAAATTTTAATCCTTCCTGTTCTCCATTCCTTTGCCATTTCTTTGACCTGTTTTTCCGTTTAGAAAGTTCTCCTTGCCCTGGATGCTGTGCAGTGCTATCAGTTTTCTCAGATGTGCAGAATCATTGCTGCAGGTCCCAGAACAATCCTGCAGTGTGCATCTGGCGGCTCAGTGGAAATGCCAACCTCACACTGGTGTTCCATGGGATTCCTTCAATTCTGTGTGCCTGACAGCTCCTGTTCCCAGTGCTACATGTGCACATGTGGGAAAGTTAAAAAGCAGAAGCGAAATGAAAAATTGCCATTCAGAAAACAGCTCTCACCAAGAGCCAAGCCTCAGCTCAGTGGAATAGCTCCTCGGTTTCCCTTACATCCAGTGATTGAAATGGGTAGGTGTGAACTAAGGCATTTGTGGAAATGTGTTTGGGTTTCTTCTGTTCTTCTGTTCTTTTGTTTTGTATTGACTTTGTTCCTAAAAAGTTGCATCTTAGTCTATTAAGACCTGGCAGGCAAATCTGCACTTGGAGAAGCCTGCAGCTATTTGGGAAAGTTTCCCATAAGGTGAGGAAAGAGTAGGGGGGGGGAGGGGAGGAAAAAATGGGAGGTAGGGGTGAGGAGAGGAGAGAGGGGGTGGGGAGGGTTGAAGGGAAAATAATGAAACAAAAAGAGAATAAAAAGTGCAAAGCAATGGATGGTAACATATACAAGAAAGCAAGTAGGAAAGCTACCCATAGCACAGCAAAGCAGGAATGAAAAAAAGCAACCTTGCAGGAATGGAGGAATGTGGGAAGAGCTGAGGCCCTGCCTGCCGCAGGAGCTGCATGGAAGGAGAAGAAGCTGGGCCCAAAGGTGAGAGGGGTTTGGTGCTTTGGTCCCTTGTTCTCCATCCCTTCGCTTCTGTCCATCTCTCCTTCCACGTTTTCCACCCATCCTCTTCTCCACCCATCCTCTCCCCTCTGTTCTCCATCCATCTCTTTCCACGTCCTCCATTCTGCTCTCCTCCCCCACATCCCCACTCCATCCCTTCCAGCTCCCCATCGCCCACCCCTCACCCCATTCCCTCCCCACCATCTCCCCCTCCTCTGGCTTTAACACAACCTGGCAAAAACAAGGTCGTCCCCCCAGAAGTTACAGAAATCTTACACCACGTGCACTTAGGAGTGTGGCTACCAGGGATGCCTGGCAGAGCCAAAAATGCAGCCCCAGTAGCAGTGAAGGTAAAAGCAGGAGCCAGCCCAGTCAGGGTAAAGCAGCGCCCTTTGAGGAAACGAGAGTGCAGAAGGAGAGAAGAAATCATAAATAACTGTTTGGAGTTCGGATTGCTAATTGAATGTGAATCCAATGTGCTGAATGCCCAGAACACTTTTCTGCCACACGTAAGTGGGGGTGCATGGAAAAGGTAGCTTTTATTGCAGAGCTGACTGACTGGAGTGTGTGTGCTCACTGAAGACTTGATTCTTCTTTTTCTTTGCTCGGGAGCTGGGTAACTTCCCAGGGAGGTGGGCCTTCCACAGACAAGGCTTTGGACTCCTGGTTTTCAGCCTCTTTTAGCTGCATATCTAGAGCTCATGATAATCCTACAAGAGTAAAAATAAAATGCATTAGTTACTAAATTGGAAAGCATTCTAGGCAGAAATGTGTTCTCACAATTCCTCCCTGTTCCACTGCAGTTACTGGCAGCGCTCTGCAGATGCTGAACTGTTTTGCTGGAGAACAAATGCGTATTCAGCAATGTTGAAACCACGTTGTCAGTTGGCTGCCAAAATCCACGAGCACACCGTGGTGTCAAGGATTGCAGCAGGCACTCTGTCAGTGTACTGCTGTTACAAAGAACCGATGGGCTCCAGGCAATGGCAGGTGGGTTCCATACCCTCAGGGCCACCCCCACAGGTGCCCATGGAGGCACATTGCTCTCTGGGGCAGGAATCCTATTTTCCTGGCCATCCCTCCATCCACTTGTATTTGCATCCATCCTCTCATCCAACAAGTGTTCCATCCATCCCACGGCCCTTCTGTCCCTTTGTCCATCCCTCCCTCCCTCCATCCCTCCAACACTTCTCTCCTCCGTCGATCCCTCTGTCCATCCGTTCCTCTCTCCCAGCAGCCTCCCCCCGTTACCCACCAGAACCTCCTCTGGAGCTCTGGGGGATCTCCCCATCGTGGTGCCTCCAGGCATTTCCTTGCCACCCTGCAGGTGCCGATGTTCTGCTCCCTCTCCCTCGCATCACCCCATCCTGTTGCTCAGCTGCCCTCCCCACTCTTCGTTCAAAGCCTCCCTCGTGAAGCTGCCGTCCTCCTGACGAAAACATCCTCGCCTCCCTCAGAGAGATGGGTGCCATCCCTCCCACGCAGACACCGACCCGCAAATCGGTGCTGCAGGCACAGAACCCCAGCCCCTGCCACCAGCACCAGGCCTGCAGCCGAGGACGGGCAGCACCACCAGTGCCCTCCTGTCACGCCTGTCCCGCAGCACCACCTGGGCCCCCGCACCCTGGACCACCGGCCCCACGGCTCTGCACTCACTTCTGATGCAGCCTTACCCGTGCCCACCTTTCTTCCTGCTGGCCTCTCACGGTGAGCCACACGAGCTGTCGGGTGGACCGCATCCATCGCGTGGAGGCACCGCAGCCTCCTTCCAGCACTGAGGGCGCTGGAGCTGCGAGTCCTTCTGTGGGGCAGGAGCGTCCTCTGCTGCCAGGGTTTTCCAGCTGCAGTCCGTCACCAGACGTGAGGCTGCGCTGTGGAGCTGCAGCGCTGGGCCGGCAGCTCAGCAAAGCCCCTGAGCACGGCGGAGACGAGCGGGCGGCCTGCGATGCCTTCACAGCATTATGCACTGCGGGAATGAAATGTTGTTCCTGCGCTGGATGTTGAGATGGACAATGGACCTAAAGAAATAGAACACGACGTGTTTGCATTCCATAACTTGTCTGTAGGAGTAGCTGATGTGACAAGGAGAGATATCATCTGCATATCAGGAACACACACAGTTACTGCGCTGTGCGACACATTCTTCCTCACGCAGTTGCAATAGACCTTAAATGTTTTAAACAACGTAGGTATTCTGAACTAGAAAACGTGCTGTAAGACTGGTGAGCCAGCAAACATGAAATGCATTTAACAAGCTTTCAAGGAGCCAGGGCTTTTACACAAAGCACAGCTGTCCTGCTCTGTGGCAATGTCAGGATGCCATAGGCAGATCCAGGATGCTCCCCTCTATCCTCCCTCCAAGCTTATCTCCATGCAAGGACAGACGGATGACCAGAACGGTGACCCAGTGTAAAGGGCGCAAATGCCAAGGGGGTAATTAAACAATGAAGAGGTCAGGTTTACGTTTATGCTGTAAAGCAGGCATCCGAAAGTGACGACCAGATGTTTGTTAAGAAAGCAATGGTCAGAAGGCCATTAACCAGCGGAGATGTTTGTGTCTGCATGGCAAGGATCTGTGTGCACTTGCTATTTGTGGGATCAGTGAAGTGTCGCAACAGAGTGCGAACCTGCAGCACTCAGCAGTGAGGAGCCAGGGCAGAAAGGGATCAGCGTCGGGCAGCAGGGCATAAAAGGTGCAGCACTGCTTTCTGTGCGCGCTCCTGCTTGCAGGAGGCCCAACACTGCCATTGCAAATAAAACCTGCTTTATCAGAGACACCGTCCTGGAAAATTATTGGGCATTTCCAACATCACCACCACTTACAAACACCTGCAAAAGCCAACAAGAGCCACGTTCTGTAGTGCTAAGAACGCACAACTTAGCAGGCAGGAGCATGGGGCTTAGGAGAAAGGTGTAACTCAGAGGTTGCTAGAGAATTGCACATCACAAAGGCACCACGAGCAGGGTTCTAAGGGCAGTGTGATCCAGGAGTCCCAGCAGGAGGTGCTGGCACCTTTGGCACGCGACCCCAGGACAAGGCAGCTCAGCAGGAGGCATCAGGCAGCGCTGATGAGACACGCTTTATGGACAGTCCTTTAATAGCTACCATTCCAATGACAGCAATGGGCTGAGAGCAAAGGCTCCACACACAAACCTGGTGGCTTACGCTCCCACCAGTCAAGGCAAACAGAGCAAGACGATGAGGCTGAGCTGCAAGCAGGCACGGTGCAGCCAAAGTCCCTTCTGCAGTCACTGGGGCAGCTTCCCCACCTCCAGCCCCACAGGCAACACACACACACAGCGCAGCACGGCTGGTCGTGCTCCACGCTCAGAGAGCAAGCTGACAAGTTGGAGCTCCACAAGGACATGGAGATCACTTCATGATCTCTGCTTTCCATGCTGGAGCTGCAGCCGGTTGTACTGAGGTTTCTGAAGCCCCTTTCAGTCTCAGGAGGGAATGAAACAGCCCAAACGGAACGGATGCACTGGGGCTCTCTCCAGGACACCTGCTGCCTCAGAGGAGTTCACATCCACTGAACAGCTACGGAGCTCCTGCAAGGGCACCACGCACAAACAAGGAAGGGAAGGAAAACCCAGCACACTGTGCAGGGGTGCTGCCTCTCAGCAGGTGATCCCTGTTCCGTGTACAGAGGATGGACATCAGCTGCACCTCCTCTGTTCCCCATTTCTTCTCCCCCGCTTCGTACAGGCACTGACAGACATTGTGGATGACAAAGTAAGGCTGATGGAGAAGGCTGGGCATACAGGAGATCTTTAATTCCTGCAGCTAGAGCACTGCTGGCCTGTGCTTGTCTAGACCATGGATATTTTCCAGCAAGCACCAACCAGGCACGGCAACCCACAGCCAAAATGTCACTGCCCCTGCCAAGCAGCCAGCCAGTCTACAGACACTCATTAGAGGCTTGCAAACGAGACTAGAACCATTATTCCCATTTCACAGGCTGGCTTCTCTTCACCACGCATCACACGCACAAGAATAGATTGGGAAGCACATTACTACACACCTGAGCATCTGCTGAGCAAGGCCATCATCCACATGCATTCCCTCACCTCTGCAAGGACACAAGGAGAGAAGACTCGGTTCACCAGAGCATCTACTGGAAGCAACTCCTGAGAACTCCCCATTCAGGAACGGGTGCTGGAGATGGATAATGGAGTCCTTCAAAGGGAACACAGCTCACAAACACAGCGAAACACAGCTCAGGTGTGCTGTGGGCTCCTTCTGAAACAAGCAGCAACCCACTTTACTGGCATGTTTAAAGAAGAGCCCACAGCACTCACGCACACCCAGAGTCAGAGCCCCCTCCCTGCAGAAGCTGGGCTTGAGAAGCAGCCATGGGACGCACAGGGTGAGAAAAAGCCAGCCTGGAGCTCCTCACCACTGAGTGCAGAGCTGTGCCCACAGCTCTGAACATTCAGCCCCTTCTCCCTCAGCGTGGCTCAGCGCCACGAGGGACACGAGGACCCTTGGGAACACGGCAGATGTGTCAGATAGGACGCCACCCTCAAGGGAGCAGCCAGCTTCCAGCAGGAACACACACAGCATCCGTGAGGAGCAGGGCCACCGCCTGGGTGCTGCCCACAACGTTTGCCAGCCATCACCTGCTACGTGCAGAGCTGGGCCCAGGGCTCTCGGCATCACTGCAGCGCTCCAGCCATCATCATCAGTGCTGCAGCCTCCAATGAAGAAGCACAGACAGCAAGAAACTGGCAAGAGAGCCACACGTCCCGCTGACAGAATGCTCCTCCCCATTTCAGTTACACCAGTTCAGCTGCTGCTGAAATTCCAGTCTAGCTTCTCTCTGCACAAACAGCAACACCCAGGTTGGCCAGTTTGTCACACCTGAAAGCTCCCCAGACTCCTTCCTATCACGCCTGCCTGCACACACACACACTGATGGCAGGCAGCAGGACAAGGCCTGGCCTTTTGCTCTGCTTACGAAGCTCGCAGTTCTCATCAATGCAACCAATCTCTTCACTGGTGCGAGAAGCCAGAATTTCAATCAGGCAGCCTTCACCTGTTCCTGCTCCCTAGGGAATTGCCAAGCAAGATTTCAGATACCAGCACCTGCTTGTGACGTGCAGCCAGGTTTCTTTAAGAGTTAATAAATGAGAAGACGTACATAACAAAGCAGCAAGTCCTTGGCCAGAACTTGAGCCATTCGAAAGGAAGACTTGCAAACCTTCACAGCCCTCCTTAGTTCTGCACGTCACACACGGTGCTGGCAGTCATCATCCCAATCATCACCCTCTCAGAATTCCCACTCAGCTTCAAGTCACTTCCAGTCATCGATCAAACCCTAGAAGGCCAAGAGAGGAGAAAGGAGCTGGCAGAAGGCGCGGCCTTCGAGGACAGAAGGAACTGAGCTGCTCTCCACTTCTCTTCAGGCTCCAACCCTCCTTGCATCAACAACTGCACTGAACTGAACAGGAACAAAACAACCTTGGCCAGGTAAAGTCTCTGCTGACCTTTCTCTTATGGAGGATGGGTCATTTTTCGCTTTTCACCCAGTGACCCAACCACGTTCACACATCTCTGCAGAGCACCTACCTGCAGGAGTGCTCTTGTAGGTGATCAGAACTCGCTGACGTTGGGAAGCATTGAGTTTGGTCAAGCCGTCAGTGATGGCATCTTCATCTGTGCCTGCAAGAAACAAATGGAAGCTGGTCAGACTGCTTGCACAAGAATCAGAAGTGCCCTCTGCTCTTGTGCCACCTCCAGGCCCCTACAGAGCCAGCTCTCAACAGCCCCAGGACTACAGCTATGCACACAAAGCTGCCAGGACCCACACCTCCAGAGCAGCTGCATTTCAGGACATGAAGGGCAGCTCTGTTTCCACTTTCCAACAATTTTTAGGGTAGTTGTGTTCCAGCGAAGACCATCAGCAAAACAGTGCTCACCTTCATGGAGCCTGGGCTTTGGAAGACGGGCACAGGAATAACCTCTGCATGGGTGGAACCTTGTGGGTTCAACCAGGAGAGAACAGCATGCCCAGAGAGTTTATCTGGAAAAATACCTCCTCTGTGAGCTGGCACTCCGTTGGATTTTCTCAAGCAGGAAAAGCAGACGTGCATTGTCCTCTATAGGAAAAGCAGACGTGCACTGTCCTCTATAGGAAGAGACAGAAAGAAATTACACATTTACCACTCATAACAAGACAGACAGACAGTGCTCTTCCTACACTCCCTATGCTGACCTGATTGCAGCAAATGCCTGGCACAGCAAACAAGCACAGTCACCATCATTCGAGTTTTGGGTCAATCTCTTCTCATTCAGGTCCACCAGCAGCTGGCAGCTGCAATAAAAACCAGCGAGAGCATTAGTTTTCCAGCAAACAGCTGCTGGTGAAGTGATTGTGACTGTACAGCACGGCGATAAGCAGGAAGCAGGGCTATTAAACAAGCAAATCGCAGCACAAAAGCAAGGTCAGTGCAACAGAGGAGGGAGGCAGAAGTGCTGTGAGTGCAAAAGAGCCGGCAGAAAGAAAACCCAACGCAGCGCCATCTGTCTGTGCTGCGGCCGGACTGACTGCGGCCGCCTCACGGCGCCTTTGTGCTGCTCCAGTCCCTGCCCTCAGTCAGCGCCATCCCCTCCATCTGTGGTACAGCACGAGACGCGCACACCTCCACGCAGCCGCAGACACGTGGAGATGTTTCCTGGGACCGCCGGAGGAGCCCACGGCCGCACACCGCCCTCACCACCCCCATCTTCCCAATCCCCAGTCCTGCCCTGTGCTGCTGCTCTGCAAGGAACAGCAATCCAGCACACAGCGTCCCGCAGAATCACAGAATCACTCACGTTGGAAAGGACCTTCAAGAGCACCGAGTTCAACCGCAGCCTGACCATACTGCCCTACCTCTAACAACCCTCACAGAATCTCAGAATGGCCAGGGCTGGAAGGGACCTCAAGGATCACGAATCTCCAACCCCCTGCCACACGCAGGGCCACCAACCTCCACGTTCAATACCACACTAGGCCGCCCAGGGCCCCATCCAGCCTGGCCTTGAACACCTCCAGGGATGGACGGGGCATCCGCAGCCTCTCTGGGCAGCTGTTCCAGCACCTCACCACTCTCTCTGTAAAGAACTTCCCCCTGACATCCAACCTCAGGCTCCCCTCCTTCAACTTCAAACCATTTCCCCTTGTCCTGCTGTTATCTGCCCTTTCAAAGAGTTGATTCCCCTCCTGTTTGTAGGCTCCCTGTAGGTACTGAAAGGCTGCAGTGAGGTCACCCCACAGCCTTCTTCTCCCCAGGCTGAACAAGCCCAGCTCCCCCAGCCTGTCCTCACAGGGGAGGTGCTCCAGTCCCCGGATCATCTTCATGGCTCTCCTCTGGACCCTCTCCAACAGCTCCCTGTCTTTCTGGTACTGGGGGCTGCAGACCTGGATGCAGTGCTGCAGATGGGGCCTCACAAGAGCGGAGCAGAGGGGGACGATCACCTCCCTGTCCCTGCTGCCACCGCTCTGCTGATGGAGCCCAGGATCCCGCTTGCTTTCCCAGCTGCAGGAGCACTGCTGCCTCATGTCCAGCTTTTCATCCCTCAGGACCCCCAGGTCCTTCTCCGCAGGGCTGCTCTCAAGGACCGCTCCTTCCAGGCTCCCTCCGCTAAATCACGGCCCTGAGCACCGCACCCGGACGATTTTTAAACACATCGGGGATGGCGGCTCAACCCCCTCCCTGGGCAGCCCACTGCAGCGCTTACCAACCCTTTCCGTACAGCAGTTGGTCCTGATATCCAACCTCAACTCACCCCACGTCTGCGCGTTCCGTGGAATCCCACAGATGTGACAACGGGCTCCGGCTTCTTTGCGCTTCTCAAAGTGCGCCAGCGCGCGGCGTCAGGAGCGGAGGAGGCAGCAGCCGAGCCCGCCGCTGACGCTGCCATCGCGCGTCCCTCCCCGGGACTCCCACGGCTTCCTCTTCCCGGCCCCGCTCGGCTCCTCGCGGGCTGCAGGCACCGCTGAGGCACTCGCACCGCACGGCCGCCATCTTCCCGTGCTGCCGGACCGCTCTCTGCAGGCTGCGCTGAGTTCCCGCAACGCAACAACCGCAGGCATCGCCGCGGGCAGCCGGGCCGGGGCCCTGCGGGACGCGCGGTGATGACGCAATGACGGCGCGACCGCGGGCGGAAAGGACCCCGCGCGCAGCGCCCGCCCCGTTCCGCGGGCCGACCAATGGCAGCGCGGCGGAGGCGGGACCGAGCGCGGGCTCTCCGCTAATGGCGGCCGCGGCAGCGGGGCCGCCGCGATGTTGTCGGCGGGCCGGCGGAGTCGCGGGGTTCCGTGCGGGGAAAGCGGCGCTCCGCCGCTCCGCGTCCCTGCCGCCGCCCGCCCCGTGCCTCGGGCCGTCGGAGGAAGGCGGCGCGGGGGCCCGTCCGTCCCCGCCGGCACCGAGCCGTCCTCCGGAGTTGCCGTTTGTACGGGAGCCGATTGGGAACGCGGTCGTTTCTCTGTCGCTCTGTGTGTTCGTTGATTAAACATTTCCCGTTCGTTTCTCGGCGCTTCTGCCCGCGGTCGTTTCTGCAGCTCCAATAACCCGCCTCGTCCCCGTGCCCACCGCCGGGTAAGGACGGGGCGGCGCAAACGGCCGTGTCGTAGCACTGCGAGCGCCGGCCCCGTCGCTCCCCCCGCGGCCCCTCCTCTCCTCGGCACCGCGTGGGAAATGGCTGGGGTGGGATTCCGGGAGAGCTGGGGCGGCTCAGCCTGCAGAAGAGGAGGCTATGGGCGATCCGGGGCGCGGCCATCGCTCCGTGCAGGGAGCTGCGCAGAGGACGGAGCCGGGCTGCGCCCGGCGGTGCCCAGCAGCGGGACCGGAGGCTCACGCTGCAGCACAGCAGGTTTCCCTGTATGTCACCGCTGAGCCCCCAGCTCCGGTCAACGCCGTTGGATACTTTTGCCACTGATCACAATGCAGGAGATGGGAGCATCCTTGTGAAATCCACCGGGCATCCTAAGGCACGAGGTGCTGCTGGCACTCCTGAGGCTTTGAAGGGGCAGCGGGGAAAACTGGAGGGCTCAGGGCAGTACTGGGGGCTCTTGAAGGGGCTTTGAGGTGCTGTGGGTTCAGAATGGCGTTTTTTCCTCGTTTCACACACAAGGTGGCTCAGTAGCTACCAGTTGGTGGCAGCTGAGCCCATCAGTATTGTGGTTTAGAGGTATGACACCAGCACCCGGCACAGCAGAACTCTATAAGCTAAGTGCCAAGGGAAGAAGAAGGGAAACTTTAAATTCATTACCTCCTATAAACTGGTAGTCATTGGCTTCTTGTCACACCCTACTCCCGTAAAGCAGGATAACAAGGATTTATCGACATTCACAAATGTGGTAGAGATTGCTGCATACAACCAAGCGCATGCGGCTGAGCTCTCCCGTCTCTGTCCCAATTCTAGAAAGACCCAGAAGAGCTCAGCATTCTCCTGCTTTCATTTACTTACATGAACTATTTTAAAGTGCATGCTGTTATAGGCTGGCACAAGCTTTAGTGCCTAAAGCCACAGCTTGAGAGGCCAGCACCAGCCCTGGGCCTAAAAACAGCCAGAGAGACCAGCACCGGCCCCAGAGTCTGAAAGCACAGCCTCAGCCATGAGGCCAGCACAGGTGGAAAGACACAGCCACAGCCTGAGAGGCTGGAAGGGTCCTGGGGCCTAAAGCCACAGAGAGGCCGGCACCAGCTGTGGGGCCTGAAGCCACAGACAGAGAGCCCAGGGCCTGAAGGCACAGCCAGGGATGCTGACAGCGGCCCCGGGGCCTAAAGCCACAGCCACAGCCAGAGATGCTGGCCCTGGACACAGGGCCTGAAGCCCCAGCCAGACAGACCAGCACCGGCCGTGGGCACACAGATGTGCACTATTGCTTCTACTGGTTCCCCTGGGGCTCCGTTGACCACGACGAGGCCATATTGGTCTTCACTGGTTTTTATTGGGCTGCACGCACAAGAGTCATCCCCACTCCTCCGTTATCTCACGTCACAGAGCCCCACTGGGTGACCTGGTGTTGGTTTCCTGCCATTTGGATCTGGGAGGCGTCCGTCTCCTTCCCTTATGATGAAGGCACAGAAGCCATGCGGGCCGTCGCTGAGGTCACAGTGGTTCCCGGTCTGGGAGCGTTTGTGGCACAGCTGGGAGCAGAGCTGGGGCTGTGGCAAGCGTGCTGCACGCAGACTGAGCTGTGAGCCCTTCTTGAGAGAGATCAGCTGTGAGAGCCCACTGGAAGCAGCGCTGCGGCGTGTGCGTGAGCTGGGCATGGCTCAGGGTGAGCAGTGAGCAGGTGAGCTGGGTTGGTGCTGGGTGGGTGCCAGGAGGTGTCTCAGCAGAAAGCGGGGCTGGGCAGGAGTTCCCAGCTCCAGCGGTGCCCCTCAGCACGGCTGTGTCCAGGGGAGATGGGTTCTGGTTGAGATTCCCTCCCACGATTCGATGAGGACGACGAAATGTCATTACTCCCTTGGAAATCCACTGCTGGGCCCCCGCCTTCATGTCAGACATTAAAAAGGAAGGAGAGCGCAGGCTGCACAGTGCAACTTGTGCCTCGTGCCCCACGGATGGCTGGGTGCAGAGCTACTGAGGAGATGGAGAAGAGCACCTGCTGGCACCAGCCGTGGCAGTCAGACACGAGCTGGAGCTGGCACTAGGCAGCTCTTGCAGCCAGCTGTTTTCCAGACATTGTCCTCCTCAAGGGACCAAATCGCATGGCAGAAGCTGGGAAAATGCTTCTTCCTCGTGATTTTTCACTTGATAATTTCTGCAGGGCTCCTGTCCAAACGGAGTTTCAGAGATCGAGGCAGTGTCAGGAAGAGTGGAGCCAGGTCTTTCCAGGAGCGAGGGAAGTTCCTGCAAAGAGAGAAAGCTCTCTCTTCAGCTTCCTCTGAGACAGCAGTCATGTCTCAGCGAGGAGACATGGAGTGTGTGACAAGAAAGGTACGGCCGGGTTTCTTTTGCTTGGCTCTTCTTCCTTTTTCTCATTTTTAAGGGAAGGGGCCGAGCAGGGGGAGCCCTGCAGGTCCTTTGTGACCTCAGTAACCAGTTGGGTTCCGTGCTCCCTGCTGACAGCCTGGGCTGATGGCGTGGACACGGCTCAGGCCCTATTTTCCCTTAGCCATAAATAACGTCCCAGCACTCTGCTATCCCATCTCCGGCACAGCCTGGAACCTCTCTGCAAACCTTGGCTGCCCGTTCCCTCCAACGTTTCTTCCTTTCCCTCCTCAGAAGCAGCGCGGCGCGGTTCCCCGCGATAGGGAGCAGCAGCCAGCAGGCTGCCAGAGATCCGGCAGCGCCTGGCAGCGCACAGAGGGACGCGATGGGGACGGGCCGTCCTCACTGCCACGCAAAAGTGAGTTTCTGCAGTCCTCTGCCATGACGGATGGAAGAATGCATTTTAAGTCTTACTGCTGAGCGGGTGCAGTGCTGTAGGGATGTCAAGGAACCATGGTGGAAGCGTTAAAGATGCCAACAGTGGCAGTGGATGGCAGCAGTCAGAGAGATGTCTGTGTGTACATGATGGTGCTGGGAACTGAGTGAATTCCTTCTAGGGCCAAAAAATACCTTCCTCAGCTTTTGCCCCTGACAGCATTTTGTTTGCTGGTGCACCTTTGCTCTGCAGAATGCAGAGCTGTCAGGCAGACCGGGGTTGCTCTGCTGCCATCTGAGCAGGAATGAGAGCAGTAATGCTTTGTATAAGCATCAGTTTCTGTTTTGGTTTGTCTTTTGGTTTTCGGAGGTGGACGTGGGCTAACAGGACAGTGCTGCTCCTGGTGTCTGTGAAATCACGCTCCATCTGTTGTTGCAGGGACGGAGCCTGCGCGTCCATGGAATGGTGCTGGGCTTGGGGGGAAACGGAAAGACTCCGCAGGTAAGGAGCTCTTGTGAGCTGTGGTGTGGGTACTGCCTCTAAGCAGGGCTGTGTGTGATGGAGGAGAGAAGAAAGGCACTGCAGTTCTGTGCTGACGGCAGAAGTGGCACAGTGCCGAAGCAGCGGAAAAGCCAATTGAAGAAACTGCGCATGAGGACCAGAAGTTTGTGTCTGACTGTGCTGAGTTCTTCCTCAAAGGAGATGCTCTTCATGTATTTCTTGTTTTCTGTCAGAAGCTGATGCCAGCGGCCTTCCTCTGAAGCGCAGCAATGCTGAAAGGCAGGGGAGGAGCAGCGAGTGTGACAGGGCACCCAAGAGAGGTACAGCACACAACAGGCATCGGGGTTTGGGGCGCTCCAGATGAGATGTCCCAGCATTGCGGCCCATTCTGCAGACTGAAAGTAGCGTTGGGCTCTTGTTAACTCTTGCTGCTTCTCCTTCCTTAACAGAGATCGGTGCTGAGCCCAATGGCGATATCTATGTGAAAGTGGTGCAGCAGGTGCATTCGGAGAGAGCTTGTCAACAGGCAGCAGCTCAAGCTCCTCTCCAGGCTGGAGGGCTTCCTAGAAGAGCAGGTCCCAGCACAGGGGGAAGAGCTTCCCCTGCCGCGTGCCCCCGCTCCGTCTCCAAGGCCCAGGCTGGATGCAAACGCAAGGCCTCGGAGGAAGGGACACCAGCAGCAGTGCAGCTGCCTGCCAACAAGAGAGCGAGGGCTGAGAGCGGAGACAGCATGCCGGCTCCAGCAGCACGGCCTGGGCCTGCCGCAGCGCGGAGCTCCAGGCGCAGAGGTGAGCAGGGCTGTGCTACCACCGTGCTGAGCTGCTGCCCTCTGCAAGCACGCGGAGTCTGCTTGGGGTTTGCTTTGCTTTTTCCTTCTCTGAAGAGGGGAAAGGGGTTGAAGGCTGCCGAGTCCAAAGGCAGCGAGGTGCCGGAACGTGCAAGCCCATCTCTTTACCTGCATGGTGGTCTTCTGCACGTCCCACTGGAAATGTCATTCACTGGGGGGCTTCCTAGTCCAATTTCCTTTGTCTTTCTTCTGCCATTGGTTGCTGCAGTTTTGCTGCTGACAAAACAAATTCATCTTTTTTCTCGCCTTATAGCAAGAAGACAGCGACGAAAGGAGAGGAGAGCAGAACTGAAGAAGGCTTCTCTGAGAGCAGCTGCTGCATGTGCAGAGGTGAGTCCTGGTGAGTGCAGACACGGCTCTCGTTGCTCTCAGGGCCTCCGTCTGTCAGACATGAAAGATTTCCCGAGGGAAGCGCTGTCCTGTTTCTACACTCGCTCTGTTTCTTTCCAGTCCTCCGCAATGAACAGCCTTGTGGAGATGATGCAGAAGCTGCAGCTGCACGACTGAGAGGAGGAGCGACAGAAGGCAGCGCTGCGAGTGCCGCCCAACTCGGCACTCCAACTTTGGGTGCAGTCAATAAAAAACAGCCGCAATTAGAGACTGACAAGGAGCACACGGCCCGCTTTGTCCAGCGGCACTCAGTGCCTGCTGCACCACCTCCTCGCTCTTGGTCAGAACTCCCACAGCTCCATCAGCGAATGCTGCTGTCTGTTGGTGCAGCGGAGGCAGCAGTCCTTTGCACTGCCCACAAACCGACCACCTGCAGAGCACGTGCAGAGAGCTGCGAGTAACAGGGCCTGGCCACCAGCGTGCTGACTTAGAGAACGCTGCCACAGAGATTGCTGAGTTTCCCAGGGCAGCGCTGACTGTTTTTTGCTTTATGATGAGTGTACAATGAGCAAAGTTCCCCAAAAGGACGGCGTTTGCTCAAAAAATGACAGGCTGCTGGTCCAGAGCAGTGTCTCTGCAGGTTAGGACCACCAAGCTGCCATCCCGGCACTGCTCTGCTCACAGACAGCGCTGCAGGTTGTGGCACTCAGAAGGCGCCCCTCTGTCGTGCAGCCCTCCACAGCCCCTGCCTGCCTGTCCCTGTGTGGGCTGGGATGGAGCTTTTCCTTTGCAGTGCCTGGTGTGACGCCGTGTCCTGGTTCCGTCGGTGCCATCCTGCATCCTGCTGTGCATCCTGCTGTGCACAGCGCAGTGCTGCGGAGCTGTGCTTCCCGGCCCTGTGCTCTCCAGCACTCTCGTGTGAGTTCTGCCTCTCCCAGGAATCTCCTGTTCCTAGGAACCTCCGCTGCTCCCTTGCACGCAGATCTGTGTGCACAGCCCTGTGCAGAACCACACGCCCACATGCAAGGACTTCCCTGCACACACACCTGAGCATCCACACGCACATGCAAGCACATCCTTGCACAGCCCTGTGTGCACGCTCCATCCATGTGCACGAAAACCACACAGCCTTGTGCAGAGACCTTGATGCACACACCCGTGTTCACGCACACTCACCCGTGTGCAAACCCACCCCTTTGCACACCAACGTGCATGAAGACACGAGCGCAGCTCCAGCCCTGCACACAGCCGTGTGCACACACACATGTGCAAAACTAACATTCACGTGGAAACACCCTGCTCACACCCACGTGCAATGCACACTGATGTTTAACACCGCCTCTAAGATGATCGGAGGGCTGGAGCAGCTCTGCTGTGAGGAAAGGTTGAGGGAAGTGGGCTTGTTTAGCTTGGAGAAGACAAGGCCCTGGGGAGACCTCATTGTGGCCTTCCAGTGCTTGAAGGGAGCGTATAAACAGGAGGGGAACAGCTGTCTGTGAGGGTGGGTGGTGATGGGACAAGAGGCTTTAAACTGAGACAGGGGAGGTTTAGGTTGGATACTAGGAAGAGGTTTTCCCCCAGAGGGTGGTGAGGCACTGGCACAGGTTGCCCAAGGAGGCTGTGGATGCCCCATCCCTGCAGGCATTCGAGGCCAGGCTGGATGTGGCTCTGGGCAGCCTGGGCTGCTGGTTGGCGACCTGCACACAGCAGGGGGTTGGGACTGGATGAGCACTGTGCTCCTTTTCAACCCAGGCCGTTCTGTGATTCTATGATCTCTGCACACCCTGCATGCACACACACCTGCACTCACAGCTCTGTGACAAATGCCGCTCCCATGGCACAGCCAACATGCAGACGGGGGAAATGTCAGCAGCAAAGATGCCCCGCTGCGCTCCTTCATTCTGCTCTCTGTAATGAAGGCACTGGGGCGCAGCTGCAGCCCATCCTGAGATGTGGGTTGCTGCAGGGTGCCTCGTTTGGACGCTGCGGGGTCAACCCGGAGCCGCAGCCTGAGGGACACTGCTCGTGTGCTCTGGAGATGGAAGATGCGCCAGGAGCCAAGGCAAGACTTTCACAGGCAGCGCAGGGTGGCGTTCCTGGGCCGGGCGGTGACACGCAGAGCTGTGCCCACTGCCCTGGGAACTGCGTGTGTCCCGTCCTGCGGCGCTGCAGACGGGCTCAGGGCGCAGCACTGCGGCACGGCTCACTGAGGACGCCGGGTTGAACAGCAGAACCCCAGGTGGGTTATGGGGGTCCTGGGACGGTGAGGGGGGTCCTGTCAGGCTCTGGAATGGGCTGCCCAGGGAGGTGGTTGAGCCACCATCCCTGCACGTATTCAACAACCCTCTGGATGTGGTGCTCAGGGACGAGACGCAGCGCAGGGCTATTAGTTAGGGCGGCACACGGCACGGCATCGCAGGAAGCGGGGCCGGGAGCTGCGTGACGTCTGCCCCCGTTATTGGCTGCCCACGCGTGCCCGCTCCCCCTCTCCGCAGAGCCGATTGGCCGCCGCGGCCGTCACTCGACTCCAGAGCGGGCTTCCTCTCCACGCCACGCGCGTGCGCGTTTCGTCCGGCGGTGCCCGGCCCGCCATGCCGAGTGAGGGCGAGCCCGGGCAATGGCCGTGCGGCGGCGTGACGTCATCGTTAGGCGACGCGCGGAGCTCGGGCTGCGTGTCGCGTGAGCGGGGGGGGGGGGGGGGCTGCGGTTTGGGGCCGGGAGCGGCTCCGGGGCTCGGGATGCGGAATGGGGCTCCTCGCGGGGCTGGGCTGTGGATCGTTGCTGTGGGGACTTGCGGGGTCCCGCGGGAATTTGGGGCGTCCCTCTGTAGCCGTGAAGGCCTGGGCCCGTTTTGGGGTCCGCTTGTGTCTGGGGGCTGGGGGAAGTGGGGGTCTCGCGGGGCTGGGGGCGGCACGGGGCTGTTTGTTGGGGTGCTCCTGTTGGACTCGGGGCGAGGGTCTGGCAGTGGCACGCGGCTGGGGGTCTGCATGCCTGATGGAGTCCGTTCCCCACCTCGAGTCCTCTTGCAGGACTGTTTCTTTCTCAGGACCCTATCCTGAACCCAAATCCTTGATGTACCCAAGTCTAACACCAACTCCTGCTATGGTTAATGTGAAAAGGGTGCAAAAGGGAATCTTGGTGACCTTCACCTTCCTTAGGCAGGCTTTTCAGTGCCCCACTTGCACAGGGTGCCTGCTCTGTCTCAAAGTCCTTTCTCTACCCCAGCCCCAGAGCAAAATCCCTCTCTTTGCTCCTCTCCCAGGGGCACATTCAGATAAATTCTCGCAATGGAAGGCTCTGAGCTGCCTTGGTGGGTCTGGGGAGAGCAGTGGATGTTGTCTACCTTGACTTCTGCAAGGCTTTTGCCACTGTCTCCCACGACATCCTTGTTATGAACCTTAGCAAGTGTGGGATAGATGAGAGGATTGGCATCTAGCTGACTGGTAGAGCTCAGAAGGTTGTTGTGAGCGGTGCAGTCTGGTTTAGGGCTGCATCTGGGGATGTTCCTTAGGAGTCAGTGCTGGGTCCAGTCTTGTTCAGCATCTTCATCAATGGCCCCAGTATGGTTGAGGCAAATCTGATACAAATCTGGGAGCAGTGGCTGACATACTGGCAGGCTGTACTGCAATTCCACAAGTCCTGAGCAGAATGGAGAGTTGGGCAGGGAGGAACCTGGTGGAGTTTAACAAGAGCAAGTGTAGAGTCTCTTGCCTGTGGAGGAATAAATGCATGTGTGTCAGATTGTGTTTTTGCTGTAGAAGCTTCCAGTACCAAGTTACGGAACTTAGAATTTTCTTACAGAATGGCTGCATAGGTTAAAATGGCTGGCCAGGTTGTTTTTCACTATAAAGATGCTGAGCAGCAGGATAGAGGGGAGGCTGTGATGCCCTGAGCGTGGCAAGAAATTAATCCAGAGAGTTTGGGCAATACCCACTGTGATCATAGCTGAACAGTGCAAGCTTTTGCAAAGGAAAGACTGCTAAATAATTGTAAATGTATAATTAAATTTATGCTTGCTAGCACAGCATAACAGGTATCATAAATCAGGCATTGGAGTTTAGTAACCTTTAGGTATTTTCTGATCTGGGTTTCTTCTTAAACACGGCTTTCATATGTAAAAGGAAAGGAAAAATACAGAGCAGGGGAAGGAAAGTCTGGCGCAGGATAAAACAGGTTTAACAGTTTCAAGAAGTATTGCCCTCCAATGTCCATAGAAATGGACAAAATGATCCTAAAAGCAATAGGTTGCTGATTGACCTCATGTGGAAAAATGGATTAATAAATGCATTGTGTAAGCCTGGAGTACCCGCCCAGTAGGGAAACAGAATCTCCTGTGATGGGAGAAAGGGATATAATGACAAGTGTTTCACTTATCCAGTGCCATTTTCTCCCTTGTTAGGAGGGGTGCATGCCTGCTGTTGCAACAAATAAAAAAACCTTTGCTGCTTCACTGAAATCTTTGCCTGAACAACAATGATGGAAGCTGGGTGTTTCTCACACGTGTTCCTGTACAGGTTGGGGCACGAGCTGCTGCAGAGGAGCTCTGTGCAGAAGGACCTGGAGTGCGGATGACAGGTCGGCCTTGAGCCAGCAGTGTGCTCTGGTGGCATCGTGGGGTGCGTGGAAAGCATGAAATGCTGCTGCACTCTAGCGAGGCCACATTTAGAATAGCGTGAGTGGCTCTGGGCTCCCCAGTTCAAAAAAGACAGGGATCTCCTAGAAGGAGTTCATCAGAGGGTGACAAAGGCAATAAAGGGCTGGAGCATCTCCCGTAGGAGGAAAGGCTAGTGACCTTGGCCTGCTCAGCCTGGGGAAAAGACGACTGAGGGGGTTCTGATGCATGTTTATAAATATTTGAAGCGAGGTGGGAGGCAAATGGTAGGGGCCAGGCTCTTCTTGGTGTGCAGTGGTAGGACGAGGAGCAACGGTCTAAAACTTGAACATAAGGAGTTCCCTGCAGACACGTGGAAGAACTTCTGTACAGTAAGGGTAATGAAGCACCAGAGCAGGTTGCTCAGAGACGTTGTGGAGTCTCCTTCTCTGATGGTATTCAAAATCCATCCTGATGCCTACCTGTGCAACCTCTTGTATAGAACCTGCTTTAGCAGGGGAGTTGGACTCGATGAGCTCTTCAGGTCCCTTCCATTCCCATTCCAATCAATTCTGTGATTCTGTGAATCATAGAATTGGAGAATCTAGAAGTGCTGAATGATCGTGGAAACATCGTAGCATCTACAATCTTGGAAATACAGTCAAGATACACAGCACTGTGATAGAATGGAGGAAAAAAATGACCCTTAATTGCCCTTGAAGTACTCTGAAATCAAGGAGTCTAGAATCCTCGCAGAACTTGACTCAGGCAAGCAAACACTAAGGACCTCGGCCTTTCCCTCCCTGCGTTTCCCCCACATCTCAGAAAGGATGAGAATTCTCCTGTGTCCTCCTTCAGTTGCTCATATACTTAGAGCAGCATTTTTAATTGTCCTTAATGGCAGAAGGCAGATGAAGCTCCAGTTGTGCTTTGCCCTTCTGATTTCTCCTTGAGGGGCCTTACGGCACCTTTGCAGTCCTAATTTGGTGCTGGACAGAAGCAGATCAGCATTAACAGGAGTTAGTGGGCACAAAATCACAGTTTGCTTCCTCACTGCCTCAGGGAAATTCTGCAGGGAGCGAGCTCACAACTGATGGCATGGAACAGCATCACTCGGCACTGCTTATGGGATGGGTTATCTCAGAAGTCAAAGCACTGCAAGTTACAAGTGCTCAGAGGTTTGCTTCCTCAAAAGATGTACTTTAAATTCCATTTCTAATACTGAACTTAATACAGGGAGGGAACTGAGGTTTATGATCTTCCTGAAAGGAATCCAACACCACCGTGCCCTTCTCAAAGCCTCCTGTTGTGGGGAAGTCTCTGACTCTCAGGAATGCGGTCGGAGACGCAGCAGCGCACCGCTGTGGTTAAAAGCTGTGAGTCTGCTCTGTTGTTCAGCACTGCTCTCTTCATACATGTTAACAGAGCGTTCTGCAAAATACTCTGACCGTTCACAAGGGCGCTTATCCAGTCAGAGCTGTGAGACCTTCTTTCTTCTTCCAAAGGTGTCCTTGGTTCTCATGCTGCTTATCTTGCTCCACAGCTGCTGCTCTGAACAGTTTCTCTTGTATTCCCACCTCCTTTGGCATAATTCATGGAAGGAAGAGCACTCACGTGCACTACACAAATAAAAAGAGCATCTCTGACCTCATAAACTTGCACATTGCAATGCTAATACTCCATGGGAGAAACATAAAATTACCCCATTTGTTTCCTGCAATTGATCTGTCTCCTTTTTCCACACCAAGCATATATTCAAAAACTTCATTTGCAGCAAAAACGTGGAGGCTAAAGTTAAAATACAACAACAAACACACTACTTTACATGTAGAGATTTGGGAATGTGTGCTGTCTCTGAGGATGGAGTTCTATCCTTCAGCATTCCAATAGCCCGTGTGCTTTAAAGCACAGCACCGAGCAATTTTTTCAAGTTGCTGTTGTGTTCTGACTCTGGATTCTCCGATTTCCTGATTCCACACCAATGCACAAAGCTGTGCTCAGAAACAACCCCTCGTGTCATTCCAGTTCCTTCCTCTGCATTGTGTCACCCAGCTCTGGGAACACTGCTTTTGGATCAGATCCTGCAGGCAGCAGAGCTCTTCCCGTAAGAATGCTCAAAGACCAGAAGTGAAAGCAAAATTGACACATTGCGCATAACGTCCAGCAGCAGAGCATCCAGCAGCAGAACAGCCTCAGTGGGGCTCAGGCCGCAGCTGCTGCAAAGCCTGTGGTCCCTTGGCGCCCGGGGATGCTTTCACCTTCATCTTCTCCTCTGAGGATCGAATGAGCGACTCGTGATCCCGTGAAGTCTGAGTCTAGGTGATAAATTGCACCGCGTGCTGATGAACAGCTGATCGCCGAGGCTCTGGGTGAGTGAGAAGTCGGGGGAGCTGAGGATTCTAGGTAGTAAGAAAGCTGTGCTAATTGCTGGAAGTTCTGTGCAACAGCCATCTATGCTAAAGCTAGAAGTTGTAGGTAATGGTAAGCAGTGCTGCTTGCTAGAATGTTGATGGATTCCTGCACTCAGCTTGTAACCGGGGCCCTGAGGTCTGTCCTCACACCTGCCAGGGATGCCACAGTGGGATAAGCAGTGGCTCATGGCAATCCCAATGCCCTGTAAGCCCACGACTGTGTGCACGGCTGTGCATGAGAGTGGCTGGGACAGAAACATCTGGGGGAGCTGGGAGGAGTGCAGTGGGGAAGTAATTGTTTCCACATTGATGATTCAGCAGCAACTGTGACAGAGCAACAAAACTCCACTGCTTTGTACACACGTTCCAGAATTAGGAACTGCTGAACTCGAAGCAGGTATTGTAAATACTTTGGCTTGGCTTGATGTGATGCAGACTGTTCCTTTAAACAACTTGAGCTCTGAAATTGAATTGTATGTATAATTAACCATTCAAAATTATTGGGCTTTAGGTGATCCTTTAGCACTGCCAGGTGAAACACCATCTGTTGGATTATGCTAAATTATCAAATTACCCTAATCTAAACAAGGCAAACACAAGATAAATGTCATCCAGACCCAGGTTCTCACTTTTCACCAAATGGTTCAGGAGCGACCCTTGGTGAAGAGCCTAACAGCTGTTTGCTCTTGCCTCTGGTCCTAAAATCTTCATGGAAGCTCCTGTTGTAACCTCAGCACGGTAACCAGTCATTCTGGAGGAATTACCAGAAGGTTCTTGTTCCCACTGAATCAGGTGAGAGTCCCAAATATCCTGAAAGGCTCCTGCTGTAAAGAACTGCATTTCCAAAGCCTCTTCACTGCAGCAGCACTGTGCTGAACAATGGCATCAGGAGGCAGGAAGGAGAACGCAGTGGTCGAGCTCCTATGGTACAGCCTGGAGCAACTGGGGAAGCATGCTCTCACAGAGTTCAAGGCTGAACTCAGCAAGATCCAGCCCAAGGAGGGGTACGAGTGCATCGAGCTGGAGAGTGTGACGGATCTGTCGCCAGCAGCGCTCGCCAGCTTGCTGTACAGCCACTTTGGGCAGTCCCACTGCGTGGAGGTGACAGCACATGTGCTGTGGGCCATGGGATGGATGGCTCTGGCCAGCGATCTCCTGGACAAGCTGAACCAGGGTGAGCTGAGGGAGGTGAGGTCCAGGAATGGGCCGCAGCAGCTCTGAGTCACCAAATCACCACATTCCTCCTCCTGTTCTCTGCAAGGGGCGAGGTTTGTTGAATGGAGCAGTGACCTCCTAATCCAGAAAGTCTATAACGTGGATGGGACCATGAAGGAACTCCTCCAGGAAGGTGTGCTGAGCTCTGAGCAGCATGACAGCATCATGGCAGAGAGCACCAACCTGAATAGAATGCAGAAGCTCTATGAACTGGTGCCAGCATGGGACGACACAGCCAAATATTGCCTGTATGATGTACTGATGAGAAATAATCCCTCCATCTTCTTGCAATATTTAGGTAAGAATGTACCCTGATCATCTTCCCAGCTGGGAAATTTGTCCAAAGAGAGGCCAAGCCTTCAGCAGAATGGGGGGAACACGGGCACATCTATATGCCTTTGTCCTTGGGAGCTGGTGCTCAACAGCAGCAGACACGTGGGAGAGAATGTTAAGAGCACCTGAGAAAGATGCATGCTTTGAGCTTCATGGCACCTCAAGTGGATCTTTAATCCTACACTTATTCACCACTGTCTGTCTAATCTCTGCAGCAGATACCAGGGCTGAATCATGCTTTGATGAGTTCGGGATGAAAAAACAAGGTGAGCTCTGAGCTGCTAAGCACTGTCACCCTTTGCTGAACTGCATCACTCTCCTGACATCCCCTCCTTCCCAGTCTATGCAGTAATCCCTTTTAAGATGGACAAGGATCCAGGCTGTCCTCAGCTTTTGCTTCTCCTCCCTGAGCTACGCACTCAGTGCTGCAGGACACCACTCTCTTTTACTCTCACAATCCACAGCAAGTTCCTCCCCCTGTTGCTCAAATGCACTTCTATCAGTTAGGAGCTATGTTGCTCTTCCCCAGTGAGACTTCCAAAAGGCATCAATGCACCCTGCACATCTGCACTCACCACTGTCTTCTCTCTCCTGCAGATACCTCCTGGGCCGGTCCTGTGACATATCCAGGTGAGATGGAAATGCCAGGTAAGCCCTGAGCTACTTGGCTCCGTCACCCCTTTGCAGAGCTGCATCACCTTTCCAATGTCCCTCCAGTCCCAATCTGTGCAGTAAGATGGACGAGGACTCATACAGTCTTTGGCCTTTGGTTCCCCTCCCTGAACTATGCACTCAGCAATTCAGGATGACACCCTGTGGTTTTTGCAGGCCAAAGCAACTCCCTCCTCCTGTTGCCCAAATCCATTTCACAGAATCACGGAATTGTAGGGGTTGGAAGGGATCTCCAGAGATCACTGAGTCCAACCCTCTGCCAAAGCAGGTTTCCTACACAAGTAGGTGTCCAGGTGGGTCTTGAACATCTCCAGAGAAGGAGACTCCACCACCTCCCCGGGCAGCCTGTTCCAGTGCTCTGTCACCTCACCGTAAAGAAGTTCTTGCACACATTCATGTGGAACTTCCTATGCTGCAGTTTCTGTCCGTTTCCCCTTGTCCTGTCTCTACACACTGCATTTCTTGTGTTAGGAGCTGCTTTGCTCTGCCCCAAGGAGCCTTCCCTAGGAAATCGAGACAATCACTTCACCCTGCACACATCAACCTCACACTGGTCTCCTCTCTCCTGCAGACATCTGCCTGTCCAGTTCTTTGGGCTATCCAGGTGGGATAGAAGAATCAGGTGAGCTCTGATTTGCTCAGTGCTGTTACTCCCCTGCTGAACTCCATCTCCCTTCCAATGTCCCCTCCCATTCCAATCTGTGCAGTAAGATGGACAAGGATTCATACGGTCTTGGCCTTTGGTTTCCCTCCCTGAGCTATGCTCTCAGAACTGCAAGATGACACTCTATGGTTCTTGCAGGTCAAAGCAACTCCCTCCTCCCATTGTCCAAATGCGTTCCTCTTGTTAGGAGCTGCCCCAAGGAGCCTTCCCTAGGAAATCGAGACAATCACTTCACCCTGCACACATCAACCTCACACTGGTCTCCTCTCTCCTGCAGACATCTGCCTGTCCAGTTCTGTGGGCTATCCAGGTGGGATAGAAGAACCAGGTGAGCTCTGATCTGCTCAGCACTGTCACTCCTTTGCTGAACGACATCACGCTCCCAGTGTCCCTTCCCATTCCAATCTGTGCAGTAAGATGTACACGGGTCCAGACAGTCCTTGTGATTTGCTTTCCCTCCATCAGCTATGCATTCAGCACTGCAGGATGACACTGTATGACTCTGCAGTTTTCACAGGCCAAAGCAAGCCCCTCATCCTTTTGCCCAAATGCATTTCTCTTGTTAGGACTTGCTTTGATCTTGAGCAGGGTTTGCTGTGACAGAACAAGGGGAAATAGTTTCAAGCTAAAGGAGGGAAGATTTAGGTTCCGTATAAGGAAGAATTTTTTTACACTAAGGGTGGTGAGGCACTGGCACAGGTTGCCCAGGGAGCAGTTGGACGTCCCATTCTTGGAGACAACGAAGGTCAGATTGAACTGAGCAACCTGATCCAGCTGCAGATGTCCCTGTTCATGGCAGGGGATTTGGACTGGATAACCTTTAAGGGACTCTTCCGATTCAAACGATTCTGGGATTCTATGATAACGAGGGAAATGCAAGCACAGAGTGGAGGGGAAGAGGCCATTGCAGATTGTGGGGATGGAGAGATACAGGAGATAACTGTGTTACTTTACAGCAATATCTGAGAGCACAGACACAAATTGGAGAAAACTGATGGGAAATCAAAATCTGCTCACACCGTGTGCGCCTCCAGAACGTGAGCCTCCACAGATGGAGAGTGACAGTGGCACACACTCAGGTGCCAAATGCATGGCATGTCCCTGGCCAGAGGTAAGGTGCTGGGCTCTCCTGCTCTTTTCAGAGAGGTTTTTTGGGCCACCCTTGCATGCTTCCTTCTCTGGTGTTTCTCACCAGGGATTCGGGGCCTGGAGCACTTCTGCCATGAGGAAAGCCTGAGAGCACTGGGTGGCCCAGAGAGGATCTAGAGTTCCTTCTCTAAGGAAGGAACTCTTTTTTCTTCAAAAGCCAGCTGGACACGGGCCTGGGAAGCCGTCTCTGGGTGGCCCTGCTGCGGGGTTTGGACTGTGTAATACGATTCTAGAATCATTAAGGTTGGAAGAGACCTCTCAGGTCACCGGGTCCAACCATTAACCTGCCTGAACATGGAATTATAGAACCAAAGAATCATAGATTCATAGAATGACAGAATCACAGAAGTCATGGAATCGTGTAGGCTGGAATAGAGCCATAAGATCAAGTCCAAACATCACCTAACACAAAAAGTCCAGCACTATACACTTCCCTAAATGCCTCATCCACACTTCTCTTATATCCCTCCAGAGATGAGGACTTCATTAAGCAAAACTGTCTCCAACACTGAGCCTAAACATGTCTGTGCTTCTCTGCTTCTTCTTCAGGATGACAGGGCAGAAGAAGTGAAGCCAGAGATTACTGGAGGCAAAGAAGGCAAGAAAGAGACATACAGGTGAGCACGTGATGGCTGGGAGTGCTGAGAAATGGCCAACAGAAGGCAGGGTGATCCCACGGCCAGGTGTCCAGCCTGACAGTCTCTTTCTCCTCTCCTTCCATGCTGCACAGAGCTCATTTCCCTCGGGCCGGTTTCTTCCGCTGTGCTGAGACAGAGCTCAAGTTCCTGGTGAGGACGGCCACCACTGTTGAGTATGAGTACTCCTTCTGGGAACGTCACCTGCCTGATGGGATCCCCGCTGGATGGATGGAGGCTGGACCGGTGTTCGACATCCGTGTTACGCTGGGTGCTGTCGAGGCCGTTCATCTCCCTCATTTCCTGTGTCTCGCAGGTAACGCAGTGAGGGTGATGGCTTGGTGGCTGAAACAGCCCTGGGGGAACATCAGCACTCTCCCCAGTAGGGCAATTTGATCTGTGACACATTTTGACCGTTCACAGAGGGAAATGTGAACACGTCTGAGATGCGTATCGGCCATGTCGTCAATGGGAACCTGCTCCTGGAGAAGCCTGATGCAGTGAAACCATTCCATGCAGAGTTGAGGGACCCCAGTTTCTCCCCCATGGGAGTCATCTTGCTTTCTGCCGCATTCCCCTTCATCCCCGTGCACTCCCTTGTGCTGCTCTACCGTGTCATCAGGGCTGCCGACATCACCCTTCACCTCTACCTCATCCCCAACAACCACGGCCTGGAAAAGGTGACTGCAGCTCTGATTCCATGTTTGATTTTGTGGCTCCAAAGATGGTCATGTTTGAGCAGTTAAGAGATGGGTTCCTCCTTGGAGAGATTGGGTTCATGTGGTATAAGCAAGCCTTTGGCAAAACGGTTCCCACGAGTCACGACGCTAATCCTGCCCACCAGATCTCCTTGTAGCTCTTCCTTCTCGCTTCCTCTCCTTTCTTTTCTCTCACTTCACCCATCATCATTTCTCCCCATAGTCAGTGTACAATATTTTGCAGGTGGTGGACAAGGATGAGAAGAGACGAGGCCATTCACTCTTGGTGAACAAACCTCCCCAGACCAAACGACCGCTGAACTTCAACACATGGTACCGCGTATCTGGTCCTTCACAGGCAGAGATAAACCCTCAAGTGAGTTGGGCCGTGTGCCTCACAACTGCTGTGAAGGATGGCAATGCTCTGACATGCCAACCTGTTTCTGCCAGGAGCTGAAATTCGTCTACCTGACATCAGACAGCCGCCAGCTCCACACCGAGGTCTACAACAAAGACCTCCAGGAGGGAATGCAGCTCACTTTGATGAAGGTCGCCCAGGAGGGTGAAAAGGAGTGTGACCCATTGTGGGCTGCCTTCCTGAGGGCAGGTAGGAAGGACGTGATGCAGCTCTGGGTTCAGTGAGGCCTGAAATGAGGCCTCAATTTTGGTAAGGGAGCGGGGGTTGCTGACATCTGTCAGGGTGTGTGTCCAAGCCTCCTGTTTTCAATCTGTACCCTCCGCTCTCCTTTTTCGCTCTTCTCTAGGGGACATTGAGCCTCCAGCTGCCTCTCCTCCTTCGTACTCAGGTATGTTCTTCCTTTAGGGGGAGTGGCTTTGGCCTGGAGGTCCAGGTCAGTCAATCCAATGTGGAGAGAGAGTTTGTTTGTTCTCCCTAACGTACTCCAGAGAGCTGGAGGGGAAGGCCATGAGGCCGTGATGTCAAATCAGAAAGAATACTTCAGAAACCTAGGTAGAGATTGAGGTGAGGAGGACTGGGATGAGTTCTGCCTTTGGGCTGTTCCCTTGTGTGAAGTCTTGGCAGAAGAGGGAGATATGAGATGGCTTAATCTGCCATGCCAAGAGCGAACAAGAAGCAGCGATAAGGGTCCTTCAGTCTTACCAAAGGCGGGATGTTTCCTACTCAGCAGCAGCACCCAGCCACTCACTCTTCTACCGTAGCAGGGCTGCATTTTGTGGAGCAGCACCGAGAGCAGCTGATCCAACGAGTGACATCTGTCAGCACTGTCCTGGACCGGCTCTACGGGCACGTCCTGAGCAATGAGCAGTACCAGAGCATCCGAGCAGTGCCCACCATGCAGGAGCAGATGCGGCTCCTCTACAGCTTCGTGCCCAGCTGGGACATCGCCTGCAAGGATCTGTTCCTGGACGCTCTGAAGGATACCAACAGTCACCTCATCCAGGACCTCCAGGGACAGTGAAAACCATCTCAGGGAGGTTCTGAGTGAGTTCAGCTCATGGGCACCTTGGGAAGATGAACCCCTGGAGGGGCTCTAAATGACTCAGGGAGCCCTGAGCTGGGGCTGTCTTTAACCCAACCAGCCTGCAGGAGATCTCCCCTAACACCCCCTTAGTCCCTGTTGACACAGTGCTGACCCCAGAGCCATCCTGTTGTCCCATCAGGGACCAGGTTCGTGCTGGTGTGCCAGCACACAGAGCCACAATTAAGATGGAAACCTCTTCACAGAGCTTTCCCTCTTAATTCTGCAGAACAAGGAGCTTGGCAATCATTTGCTAAGGCAGCAGTACCCAAGATAGAAGCACAGTTACTCCTACATGGATGTTTACAAGGTGATCCCTTTTTATAGTTTCTAATTGGGTACTTGGTTTCATCTTTTCTGGGCTTGCTCTTTCTGGGACTGGAAGATTCTGTCTCATTACAATCTCATTTTCATGCTGATGGTATCATGCTTTATCAAGTAATTAGCCCTTAATGAGCCTAAAGACCAATTTCAGGGCAATTTCCCTTCCTTGCTGACACCAGAATATTATCACTTTTGACACACTTGGGGCTGAATTGTGCCCTTTTTACTCATTCTTCCCATATTTGTCATCAATTTTTCCCACTTTTCTGTCCTTGGGGGACATCTTTGAGACTGCGAACCCACTGTTTTTCCCTTTCACTTTTCTTCGTGGACTCTGGGAGCAACGCATTAGCAGCAATTGCTTCCAGAGGTAAAGAAATGTACAGGGACAGTTTTCCCTATCATCACATAACTCATTTCATTTAAATCGACCTTTGTGGTTCAGCCATTCAGGTCTTGTGATTCCCAAACACACCAGGGCAGGGAATTATCCCTCCAATAATAACCTCCAGCAGAGCGAGAAGAGCAACATTAAAAGTACCAAAGTATCAAACGCTTATTGACATAATTCCACCGTTGTGTTGGCCTCAGCGGAGCGGGAGGTGGTAATGTCCATGATACACAAGGTTCATCTGGGATATCGGCCACGTTGGGCCCAAGCTGCAAGGATGGGGGCTGGGTCTGACAGAGAGGGGCCTGAGGAGATGGGTTCTACACAGGATTATGTGTCTCCAGGGGGTCTTCATGAGGTATAGGTTGTCAGTGGGGCTAGGCTCCAAGGGTTATGGGGTCCCCACGGGGGGTAGGGTCTCCACAAGATACAGCTTGTCAATAAGATGGGCTTTCATTCCTTATAGGGTCTGTGTGGAAGTCAGGGCCTCCAAGGGCTGGATCTTCCAAGTGTTTACACAGTCTGCATGGGATACAGGGGGGTCAGCAGAACTGCTGTCCTGGACTTCTGGAGGGCAGACGTCCAGCTGTTCAGAGCAGCCATGTCCAAACCGTGGCCCAGCACAGCTTGCATTGCAGTGCAGCCACTCCTCTCATCAGTGTGCTGCAAACCCGACCCGGGCTGAAAGCAGGGACAGGGAAGGCGCAGTGCAGCGCCAGCTCAGGTTATGGCAAACCACTTTATGCATTTTATTACATTGCCTTACAGTCCTGTGAGAACAAAAAAGATGCAGCCAGGTTTTTTTGCGGTAAAGGAATGCGAGAGTAAGTTTCAACGTGACTGCCTAAAAAAATCACTAGTTTATTTGTGACTCCATTTTCTGTCGATGTAAGTACGTCCCCTGTGGATTTGCAACCGGAATCTTAGTTGCAAATAAAGTTGCAATCAAAAATCTGATCATGTCTCTTTACCAGACTTGGATAAGCCCTCTGTGACAGAGAGAAACACCCCTTGTTTCACAGTCACACCATCCTCCTGTCACTGCTGTTTGGCTGTACGTACATTTGTCAACAAGTGTTTTCAAGGATGAAGCACAGAAGGAGTAAAACTCCATCAAGAATCTCTGACAAAGACCTTGACAACTCACTGAGAATTGCAATCACTGCCACTGAATCTGACCGATATGGTACTTTCACAACAAGGTCACATATCCCACTGGTTTTATATTACTGTTGCTTTCTTTTTAATACTTTATAGTGAAAGATAATTAAAAATTAGAGTAACATTTGTACTTGTGTACATTACCTATACTATACATTTAATGAGGACTGCTCCAAAGGTAATGCCTCCTGTTTGCCTACAACAGAGCTGGATGTTGGTGGGAAAGCAGTAGAGGTTGAACCTTCACACTAATTTTCCACTAACTTTTGTTTTCACACGACAGGCAGCTGCCTCAGCTCAGGCTCGGCCCAGGGGCTTCCAGAGGCCTTCCAGCAGCTGCACGGCCCCCCTCAAACTGCACTCCAATACCTCCACCACTGCAGCCGCCCTGCACTTTCCCCCCTCACTGCTGCAGCAGTGAGAAGATCACCAGGGACACCGCTGGCAGCAGCACTCGGGCCCCATCTTCCTCCTCCTCCTCGCTATTCGACGCCTCCCCTGGAACCTTCAGCCTCGCTGAGGGGGTTTTCGCCATATTTCCCCTGAGCGCTGGCTCTGAGCCGCTCTCCAAGGCCTCGTCCAGCACCAGCGTGGGGGAAAGGCGAGCAGCCATGGTGTGGGAAAGGGGAACAGAAGGGAGAAGAGGGAGTCGAGAGGAGACGGGCTCCCTTAGGCATGCAGACCCCCGGCGGCGTGCCACTGCCAGACCCTCGCCCCGAGTCCAACAGGAGCACCCCAACAAACAGCCCCGTGCCGCCCTCAGCCCCGCGAGACCCCCACTTCCCTCAGCCTCCAGACACAAGCGGACCCCAAAACGCGCCCAGGCCTTCAGGGCTCCAGAGGGACGCCCCAAATCCCCGCGGCACCCCGCAAGTCCCCACAGCAACGATCCACAGCCCAGCCCCGCAAGGAGCCCCATTCCGCATCCCGAGCCCCGGAGCCGCTCCCGGCCCCAAACCGCAGCCCCCCCCTCTCTCATGTGACACGCAGCCCGAGCTCCGCGCGTCGCCTAACGATGACGTCACGCCGCCGCACGGCCATTGCCCGGGCTCGCCCTCACTCGGCATGGCGGGCCGGGCACCGCCGGACGAAACGCGCACGCGCACGGCGTGGAGAGGAAGCCCGCCCTGGAGTCGAGTGACGGCCGCGGCGACCAATCGGCTCTGCGGAGACAGGGGGGCGGGCACGGCCGGGCAGCCAATAACGGGGGCAGACGTCACACAGCTCCCGGCCCCGCTTCCTGCGATGGCGCGCCGTGTGCCGTAGGCGCAGCGCTGCCGTCAGAGCCGCCGGCCTGTCCGTGCCGCCCGTGCCGCCCGTGCCGCGTGCAGTCTTTGGCTGCTTAGGGTGCGAGGCCAAAGGAGCTCGGAGGCTTTAGGCCAGCCGGAAGATGTCACGGCGCAGGTGACATCACCCGGGTTCCTGGAGCTGTCCCAGGCACCTCATCCCTGAGCTGCGCTGCCTACAGCCGCTCACCGTCCTCTGTGCCTGAGAGCTGCCCCGGCAGCAGACAGGAGTGGTGAGGAAGAGCTCTTAGAATCATAGAATCACCAAGGTTGGAAAAGACCTAAAAGCTCATCCAGTCCAACCGTTTGCCCATTGCCAACAGCTCCCACTGAACCACGTCCCTCAACACAACATCCAGCCTTTCCTTGAACACCCCCAGGCTCGGTGACTCCACCACCTCCCTGGGCATCCATTCCACTGCCTGACCACCCTTTCTGAACAGTAACACTTCCTCATGTCCAGCCTGAATCTCCCCTGCCGCAGCTTGAAACCATTCCCTCTGCTCCTATCACTGATGGCACGAGAGCAGAGGCCGCCCCCCAGCTCACTACAGCCTCCCTTCAGGCAGTCGTAGAGAGCAGTGAGCTCTGCCCTGAGCTCCTCTTCTCCAGGCTGAACGTTCCCAGCTCCTTCAGCCTCTCCTCAGCAGCCCTGTGTTCCAGACCCCTCACCAGCTTTGTTGCCCTCCTTTGAACACGTTCCAGGGCCTCGATGTCTTTCTTGCAGTGAGGGGCCCAAAACTGGACGCAGCACTCGAGGTGCGGCCTCACCAGTGCTGAATACAGGGGAACAATCACCTCTCTGCTCCTGCTGGCTGCACTGTTTCTGATGCAGGCCAGGCTGCCCTTGGCCTTCTTGGCCACCTGGGCACACTGCTGGCTCCTGTTCAGCCCAGCATCCATCCATACCCCCAGGTCCATTTCCTCTACGCAGCCCTCCAGCCACACCGCCCCAGGCCTGCAGCGTCGCCTGGGGTTGTTGTAGCCCACATTCCATTGGTTTCAGCCCAGCTCTCCAGCCTGTCCAGATCCCTCTGTGTGGCCTCGCTACCCCCAGGCAGATCCACACTTTGTGCCAATTTGGTGTCATCTGCGAATGTACTGAGGGTGCACTCGATGCCCTCATCCAGGTCATCAATCAAGATACTGAAGAGGACAGGCCCAGCACCGAGCCCTGTGGAACACCGCTCACACTCTTCCTGCACGAGAGGAAGCTTCAGACCCGCCGAGCCCAGCTGCAGGTTGCAGGTTTAGCTCTGGCATGCTCGAGGGGCACAAGGCTGGCAGTATTGATGTGAGCAAGAGAAATTGCCGCCGGCCCTTCTTGCTCAGAAGCTGCAACCCAGGTGGTTGTGGCTGAGCAAAGGATAGACGAGCCTCCTGCCGGGCCCTCTGGGCTCAAACACGCGGGGCTCAGGAAGCAGAGCTCAACTGCAGCTTCTGTCAGGGCAGCACGTCAGTAACACTTCTGCTCTTGCCTTTAGAATTGGAGGCACCTGCCAGCACGGACATAGCCTGAGTGGGGATCTGGAGACCTCATTTTCATAGATTTCATTTTTTCATAGAATCACAGGGTTAGAAATGACCTATAAGATCATCTAGTCCAACTGTCTTCTCACTACCACTGCCACCACAAGCACTAGCCCAGATCTCGCAGCTCCTCATCCAGACGCCTCTTGAACGCTGCCAGGGACGGTGACTCCACGACCTCCCCCTGTGCAGCCATTCCAGTGCCTGACCACTCTCTGAGAGAAAAAGTTTTTCCTCGTGTCCAACCTAAACCTCCTCTGGTACAACTTGCGGCCATTTCCCCAGGGCCAAATCCCTCTTCACCCCAACCTCCCTTCAGGAAGTTGTAGAATGCAGTGAGGCCTCCCCTGAGCTTCCTCTTCTCCAGACCGAAGACTTCTCCTCAGCCGCTCCTCATAAGACTTGTGCACCAGCTCATCATCCGCACGGCCTCATCTCGGCGCACTCTGCCCAAAGCCGTGGCCAATGTCCTCTGGGGCACCAGGGACATCTCCTGTGCTGCATGTGCTGCATGTGCTGCACGGTGCTTTCTGTTTGTCTTTCTGATTTCGGCAGAGTATTTTCTTCTCACTGTCATGTCCTATGATCGCTGTGCTGCCATCTGCAAGCCCCTGCACTACGAGACCCTGTTGCTCTGGGCAGCAGAGCTTGTGCCACCATGGCAGCAGCTGCCTGGGGCTCTGGATTTCTCAGTGGTCTGTTATACACTGCCAATGCATTTTCAGTGCCACTCTGCTGAGGCAATGCTGTGGATCAGTTCTTCTGTGAAATCCTTCAGATCCTCAAGCTCTCCTGCTCCACCTCCCACCTCAGGGAAATTGGGGCTACTGCAGTTGGTGTTTTGTTTTCATTCTTTTTTCCTATGTGCAGATCTTGAGGGCTGTGCTGAGGATGCCCTCTGAGCAGGGATGGCACAAAGCTTTTACCACATGCCTCACTCACCTGGTTGTGGTCTCCCTGTTTGTCAGCACTGCCTTTTTTGCCCTCTTCCATTTCCTCCCCATCCCTGGATCTGGTGGCGGCAGTTCTGTACTCTTTGATACCTCCAACCTTGAACCCTCTCACCTACGGTGTTAGAAACAAGGATCTCAAGTGTGCAATTAGGAAAGTCACTTCACGAGTGTTTCTGAATTGCGATCAGTTTACTCTCAGTTGTTGCCATCTTTAGTGTCATTTGCATTTATTGTTGTCTGAAATAAATATTTATTATTCACCTCAGTTCTACTGAAGAATGGATTTGCTCTGTTTTGTTTCCAGTTATAGAAATGCGTGTCTAAAGATATACTGACCTTCTTAATATCTGTTTAAAAAAATGGGATTTCCACAATGCACTGCCTGAAATTTCCATCTGGGGGATGTGGTGGTCAGCAACTTGAACGTGAGTCAGCAGTAAAAGGCCAACAGCACCCTGGGGTGCATAGGGTGCAGCACAGCCGTCTTGGCCAGGGAAAGGATTGTCCTGCTCTATTATGTGCTGGTATGGCCTCACTTTGATCAATAGGTGCTGTTTGATGTCGCAGTGTAAGATGGACATCAGACTATTGGAGAGCATCTATAGGAGAGCTACGAAAATGGTAAAGTGTCCGGAGGAGAGGGATATGAAGAATGGCTGAAGCCCTGGAGGCACTCAAGGCCAGGCTGGATGTGGCTCTGGGCAGCCCGGTCTGGTGGTTGGCAACCCTGCACACAGCGGGGGGTTGGAGCTGGATGAGCGCTGTGCTCCTGTGCAACCCAGGCCATGCTGTGATTCTGTGATTCTGTGGCTGTCAGTGGAACAGGGACTCTGTGATCCAGGATGCTCAGATAAGATCCTTATCCAAAACGACATGGAGTTCCTTTAGTTCTTCCTCCCTTAAGGTGCCGAGACTCTTCCAGGGGCTCTGAAAAGCCTCTGTCCTTGAGAAAAACAGAAATTCAGGCATGGGGACAGACCAGGTGACAGTCTGTCCTTCAGGACCTCGCACCTTAATGAGACGTGAG